GCGCTTAGGGGCCACCAGGCGGCGCCCTGGGTCCCGCGGGGTGCAGTCAGTCCGAGTCGCGTCGCAGAAGCAGTCCGAGTGGGCCTCTGAGTGGAGGTCGGAGTCCTGGTCGGGGTCCGGGTCGGGGTCGGGGTCGGGATCTGAGTCTGGTCCAGGTCGCGGTCGCGGTGGAGGTTGCGGTGGCGGAGGCAGTAGGAGACTCAGTGCTGGTCTGAGTGGGCGTCCGAGTCGCGGTTGCTGTTGGAGTCCTGGTCTCCGTCGGGATCCGAGTCGGGATCGGGATCGGGGTCAGATTTGTGGTCGCGGTGAGAGTGGAAGTGGGCATCCGAGTCGAGGTCGTGGTCAGAGTCCTGGTCGGGGTCCGGGTCGGGATCCGAGTCTCGGTCTCCATCGCGGTAGGAGTCCGAGTCGCAGTCGCGGTCGCGGTCGGAGTCCTGGTTGTGGTCGGGATCAGAGTCGAGGTCGGGGTCGGGGTCGCGGTCGGCATCTGGACTGGGATCCGGATCAGAGTCGCGGTCGCGTTCGGAGTCCTGTTTGGAGTCGTGTTTGCGATCCAGAGCGGAGTCAAGGTCAGGGTCGGTGTGGGGACGGCTATCTGGATCGGAGCGGAAGTCGGCGGCGTCGCAGTCCTGGTCGCAGTCCTGGTCGCAGTCAGCGTCCGAGTTGCGGTCCTGGTCTGAGTCGTGGTCGCGCTCTGGGTCAGGGTCGGGGTCGGGGTCGGGGTCGGGGTCGGAGTGGAGGTCCTGGTAGGAGTCAGAGTCGGAGTCGGAGTCCAGGTCAGAGTCACAGTCCGAGTGGACGTCCGACTCCGACTCCGACTCCGACTCCGAGGCCGAGTCGCCAGTCAGGCTGAGCCGGGCCGGGACCCTCGGGCTGCGCTGTGCAGCTCCGGTGGCGGCAGTGGCGGTGGCGGTGGCGGTGGCGGTGGCGGCGGGGAAGGGCGACCCGGGGAGAAGCGGGCGGCCAGGGCGGCCAGAGTGGCCTCCGCCTTGGCCTTGGCAATCTTCGGGATCCAGGAGGCACAGGCGGCTGTGCTGCGGGTCTGGGCCAAACTGCCCGGGGGCGTGGGCGGCTCCTGCGTGCTCCTGCGGCCCTCTGGGTGGCGGCGGCGGGCTCCCTGCCTGGGGCCTCGTGCCCCTTTCCTGGGAGCCGGGCTCTGGGGCTCTGTGGACCGGACAGGCCTCTCTCAGAAACCCGCAGGGCACGGAACACAGCTCCTGGCCCAAGACCACGCCCTGGCAGGAGAGGTCGCCCAGCTTGGGGTACAAAGGGAGCGCCCAGGGCCCGCCAGCCTCTGTGCTCCAGGCTGGCAGCGCCCCGGGCTTCCGAGTCTCTTGGGCGGAATCCCAGGCCGCCCTCACACAGAGCGCAAGAGGCTGCTCCATGACTCCAGTTGCGGAGAGGAGAAGCAGAGGCGCCGGGGGTCTCTTCCTTGGTGAATTTCCGTTGTCCTGGGGTGCAAAGACGGGGCTGGCTCTCTTCCTTCGCACACAGTCTTGCCCAAGGAGGATCTCTGGCCTGGAAGAGACGAGACAATGGTTTTGGACCAGATGACTCAAAGTTCAACTACACGATGGCACAGGCGGTGGGCTGAAGGTTTCTCAAGCTAGCATGTGTGGCACCAAAAAAGTGAGCAAAAGGAAAGGAAGCAAGCAAGCCAGGAAGGCCAAAAGGGAGGAAGAAACTGAGACAGGGGAGTCTGGAGAAAGAGAAAGGAATGAGACAGACAGAGAGAGAGAGAGAGAGAGAATATCTAGGGCCTGTGTCTCACTTACATTGGTTGCTCCTGGCTGAAAGGAAAAAGCCGACCGATCCCGACCCCCAAAGCCAAAGGACGAAAGGTGTGTGGTCACTCACGATTTGTCTGTGGGGGTTTCAATTCCTATGGAGCTGGCTCCAAGGCAGGGTGGCACAGCAGAGGAGCAGTAGTCCGTCCCTGCGTGGCTTGGCCAGCAGAAGGCAGTGGCAGCAAGAAGCAAGCGGCCAGCAGCAGGAAGCAAAGGGGCTGGCTGCAAGAAATAGCAGCAGCAGCAGCAACACTGCCTGTTGCCCACCCCTTTATATTCCATCCAGGCTCCCGCCCTTAGGGTGGTGCGACTCAGAACTAAGCTCCTGCCAGTCAGTCAGCTGATTGACTACCACACAGCCTGAGTGCCAGTCTCCCGGCCTAGCTCCAGGCACCTACACTAAGCCCATGGGCTAGGCGTGCATTTCTCACATAAGGCTTTAGGGGAAACTAGACGGCAACCATAACAGTTTCATTTGCTTAAAAAGCTGCATTTGCCTGGCATGGTGGTGTATACTTGTAATCCCAGAACACCCCAGGATGAGGCAGGAGGATTCCTGAGAGTTCAATGCAATCCTGAAATACATAGCCAAACTCTGTTTCAAAAGACAACAAAAAACAAAAAGGAACTCTAGTGTTCTGGTTTGTGATTAGATGTCTCCAGAAAGTCTCATTCCGATGAGGTGGGACTTTCTTTTCAGAGGTATTTTAATCTGGAATTTGTGATGCTGGGATTAAGGGCGTGGGATTACTAAACCACTCCCTGTGAGCGATTAGTTTGGCACCGTTGTACTCCTGATAGTCTGAATAAGATAAAAGGGGTAGGGTCCGGGGATTTAGCTCAGTGGTTCCGGCTCAGGCATCACAAGTGGAAGGTCCTGAGTTCAATCCCTGGTACCAAAAACAAACAAACAGAAAAAAAAAAAAAAAAAAGAGGCAGAGAGGTGCTGGTAACTCTCTCTTCTTACCTTTGCTGCCTCTGTGCACCATGTTGTTTCCGCTCTGCCATGCCTGTTTGTCATCCCTGCTTTGGAGTCTGCTGATTATTGAGTAAAACTTTTTTGAATTGTAACCCAAACAAATTCCTTCCCTTTTTTCTTTGAGGGTCTGGTATCTTGTCTTAGTAACTAGAGAAAAGTAACTAATACACATAGGGATACTCAAGTAGGGTGTAGTAGGCAAACCCTCAGAAGGCCAGCCTGGACTCTGTAGTGAGAACTGTCAGAAGAGAGAGAAGAAGAGAAGAAGAAAGGAAGGAAAAGGTGGCCTAGATTGTCAATCTACTCTACGATGGAGTAACTTGTGATCTTGGACCTGGATCCGGCATCACTGAGGGTCTTGTCTGAAGCCAGAGAATGTCTCTAAGACATGGAGTGGGGAATGAGATGTTATGTAATGGGCCTAGGCCAATGTACAAAGGGAAGCCTTTCTGTTGGGAAGGCAAGGTGCCATGGAAGTGGACAGTTGTTCCTAAGCCACCCAGCCCTTCCCTTGCGTGAATCTATAACAACCCAAGCAGCTTCAAAGGTGTATCCTGAGGAATGCAGCTTTTTCCTCAATGCCCTGAGTCCCTGAGCCAATAAGTGGCAAAAAGGATCAAGAGTCACCACGACCTAGGGTTTGGGCTGAAGTCTAAGGGATATAAGGCACAGTCAGTAGCACACTCAGGTGCCGTTCTTCCTTGGCCCACTGAGGAAGCTGCAGCTATGGCCCTGTGGGGTCAGACTTTGAAGAGCCAAGCCCAGGGTTGGTGTATCCAGATCCCCACATGCCACCAGGCCTGAGGCCAGAACAGGCTTGGGCCTGGATGCTCATTAATTTCAAGGCACTGTGCCACCATTCTGGCCAGAGACGTGGAGAGGTTCACTCCCACGAAAGCCAGCCGCTGCCCTGGGTTTCCACCAAAGAGGGAGCTACTCCTGCAATACTCAGGAGACAAAAATGCCATGGACAACCACATGTGCAAGACCAGACTGCCAACACCACAATGGAGGTGCAGTCAGCTCAAGGGGATGCACAAGCTAAGGTCAGTATCATTGGGAGATCTTCAGACCCCCAATAGCTGTTGGGATGAATGGTGGCTGGAAAGAAAAGAAACAGACAAAAGAATCCTCAATGCCAGATGAGGACCAGGAGGAATCTATCTCTGGTGGATGGGCTTCCAGGAGACCTGCGGGGTGGGCCTGGGTTTCTGTAGTCAACAGGGAGCCCAGAGAGAATGTGGTGTACTCTCCCAGGAACAGGGAGCACAGGAATATTAGGATAGTGAGATAGAGACCCAGTTTAGCTTCTCAAAGGCTGAAGTTGAGGTCCTTCCTCACTTTGGGGTGCTGCAATTTCTGTTGCCCTCAGAAGGAGTTATCTGGTGTGGGGAGCGCTGTGAGCAGGGCTTGCCCACACAGATGGGAGGGCAGGGCTTTTGCAGACACCTGTGCTGAAGAGACAAGTTCAGGTGGGAGCTTGAGACCGCAGGGTGTAGAAACTGGCCCCTCACCCATCTCCTTGATCTCATGCGGTGTCCGGTCTCCAACAGGTCAGCTGGGCACAACCAACCCTGACCTAGCCAGGAGATGTGGGCATCAGTGGCGGAGGTGGACAGATCCAGGCCCAGAGCGACTGCTGCAGTCCAGCTCAGCCCAGGAAGCTGCTCAAGACCCAGGCACACCACAGCCAGGAAGCCCAAGAGGAGAGCAAGCCCAGCCTTCGGGAAGCCTCACCGCACGATGCCCTTCCATTGAGGCCCTGGGAGGAGCCCTGCAAGCTGCAGTGGGGACCTTCCCACTGTCCCCTGTGGACTCCTGAGCTCCACCTGCCCCCTGCACCCCTTCCGCCCTTGAGGTCTCTGCCCCGCAGAGCCCCCCTCACTGTGCTCTTCCCCTCCTGAACCACCTTTGCCAACTTTGTGCAGGAGAAAGGAAGGACTCCCCACAGGGAGTTAGTAGTATGCTCAAGACCTCTTCAAGCTGGGCAGATTTGTCACTATTGTTGTCTCGCTCAAATTACGTGATGAATAAATCTTTCCCTCATTCACCACATGTGCAATTGTGTTTGAGTGGGTGAAGGCAGGGTCAGAACACTGGGGAACGATCTGGAGCCCCAAAGGCCTGCAAACCAGGTCTGAGGTACGAGGCTGAAATCCACAGCAAAAGTGAACAAAACAAAACAAAACAAAACCCCACATGTTCTTTGTCCAGTCCCCAGTTGATGGACAATTGGGCTACTTCCAAGTTTTAGCTATTAGAAACTGTGCCGCTATAAACGTGGGTGTGCATATATTCTTGTGGTATGACTCTCTTAATTCTTTTGGCAAGATACCCAGCAGAGGAATAGCTGGGTCAAATGGGACCTCTAATCCCAGTTTTCTGAGGTATCTCCATATTGATTTCCACAGTGGTTGCACCAGTCTGCGCTCCCACCCACAATGGTGAGGGTTCCTTTGTCCCCACAACTCCGTCAGCCAGCGTCTGTCATTGGTTGATTACTCCCTCTCTCTGTCTCTCTCTTTCTTTCTTCCTTTCTTTCTTTCTTTTTGTTTTTCTTTTTGGACCACGGATGGAACTCGGGAAATTGTGCTTGAGAAGGCAGGCACCAGAACCACGGAGCTACATCCCAGCCCTATTGGTTGATTTCTTGACAGCAGCCATTCTTTCTGGGGCGAGGTGGAATCTCAGTGTTGTTTTCATCTGCATCTCTCCAATGACCAGTGATGTTGAACATTTTTTTCATATGTTTACTTGCTGCCTCAAAAGGTGCTTTTATTGCCATTTTTATCTTTTTTGTTTCCTATCGTTCTCTCTGCTTTTCTTCCTTTGGTTTCTTTTCATTTTTGTTTTCTTGTTTTGTCATTTCCCCCCTGCCTTTCATTTTGTTTTGGTTTTGGTCTTGTTTCCACTAAAGGCCAAGCCCAGGTATCCCAAAGTGCATCCCCGGAACAACGATGACTGGGATGTTTGTTAGTGATACTCTTACACCTTCATGCATCTACTTCACTCTTTGCTTTTCCTTGAGTTCTTCAAGAGTTGATCAGAAGATGCCGAGCTCCAGTGAGTGCAGTGGCACATGCCTCTACTCCCAGCACCCAAAGAGCGGGAAGCAGGATCAACTTAAGCAGGAGACGCCCTTGGCAGTGTAGCCAGAGAGCCTACCTCCAAGTGAAATGTAAACAACATAGAAACGGCCTGTGTGAAATTCTTTGGAGCTCCAGGATAAGGCCAGGGATTTAGCTCAGTGGTTCCACCACCTGCCTGGAGCTCCAGGAGACACTGGGCAGACCAGAAGCCTAACCTTTCATGTGATTGTAGTGGGAGAGGGGAGGGTCAGGCATAACCGGAGCAGGTGACAGAGCAGTCTGAAGATGGTAGGGTGGGAACACCCTCCCCAGAGGAAAAAAGTCCATCTCCGCATTTTTCTTCTCCCCTTTTCTCCCCTCCTTGGGTCCAGGTCCGACAACCTGGGAATGAATTCACACCGAGGAGGCTTTGGCAATTGACTGCCCTCTTCCTGGGAATCATCCTGCTTTAGAGAAAGCAGGTAGTAGGAAAGTCAAATGCTTGAAGTGAGTATACCAGTATTGCCTATGCATCTCGTGATGGGAGAGAACTCAAACCTGCTAGCACTAGCAGATCCCGAGATCTTGGCCCCTCCCTAGCATCCCAGTTAACCAGAAAACAGAGTTGTTTCTTTTCGGGATGGACATGTGGCACAGGAAGCAAACCAAGCAATGTCCCAGTGAAGATGAGAGAAGTGTGCCATCAGACCCAGAGTGATCCCACCTGCACCTTTCATTTTATTCACAGGCATGCGCAAGTGTGTGCACATGCACACACACACACACACACACACACACGCACTCGTGAGTCCCACCTCTGGGGATTTCCAGCAGGTGAATGATGTGATCCGTGGAGATCCTCAAACTCCCACTGCAGTTGCTGGGGCGCCTTCTGTGAAATCCAGTGGTGCATTGCAGGCAGGGGTGCAGTGTAAATGAATGCCCAATGCCATAGTGAGCTCTGGTGTCAACTTGAGAAAGACACGCCTAGCCCGGGGGCTTAGTGTAGGTGCCTGGAGCTAGGCCGGGAGACTGGCACTCAGGCTGTGTGGTAGTCAATCAGCTGACTGACTGGCAGGAGCTTAGTTCTGAGTCGCACCACCCTAAGGGCGGGAGCCTGGATGGAATATAAAGGGGTGGGCAACAGGCAGTGTTGCTGCTGCTGCTGCTATTTCTTGCAGCCAGCCCCTTTGCTTCCTGCTGCTGGCCGCTTGCTTCTTGCTGCCCCTGCCTTCTGCTGGCCAAGCCACGCAGGGACGGACTACTGCTCCTCTGCTGTGCCACCCTGCCTTGGAGCCAGCTCCATAGGAATTGAAACCCCCACAGACAAATCGTGAGTGACCACACACCTTTCGTCCTTTGGCTTTGGGGGTCGGGATCGGTCGGCTTTTTCCTTTCAGCCAGGAGCAACCAATGTAAGTGAGACACAGGCCCTAGATATTCTCTCTCTCTCTCTCTCTCT